GGGTTTAAAAACTGAGCTTTAAAATGATTAGTAGTAGCCTAATAAAAACTGAGAGAAGCCAACAGTGATCACTGACTGTTTTAGAGGCTTGTTGAGATTAAATAGAACAAGATAGAAAGCATTAAAACATGATAAAAACACATCAGCTTTATTAAATGCAGACCACTTTGGGCCCAGAAACCTATGGAACGCCAGGACTGCCATAATGAATTAATTAAATACACCATTAAATAATTAATTAAATGTGGCAATAATTAATTAAAATTGGAATTAATTAATTAAATAAATAGTTATGATATATGTAATTAATTAATTATTGACACATTTAATTAATTATTTATGTATTTCATGTTTTAATTAATTATTGACACATTTAATTAATTAATTATTGACATATTTAATTAATTATTTATGTATTTCACATTTTAATTAATTATTGACACATTTAATTAATTATTGACACATTTAATTAATTATTTAATGATATATTTATTTATTTCATTTTGGCAGTCCTGACGCCTGGCTCTCATCATGAAATAATTTTATCTGTCAGCCTCACCCATCAAACTCAGGGGGCGGGGTTAACGCTGATCGAGTCAAAACCATTGCTTTGGCCTGGTGGCCATTGTTTCTAGCACACAACAACCGGCATGTGGAAGCTAACAGAACTGAGCTTTGAAAAACCCTGTTTGTGTGTTACCAAATACCGTTTTAATATTTTTTTAGCCGAGAATGTAGTGGTTTAATCTTCATGTGTCTGGTCGGTTTGTCAAGATACAGCCTCTTTGCAAAAGTGTTTCGATGATTTCGGAGATGTCGTCCCAGTCTCACGGCAAAGCGTGGGATAGACCCGCTCGCCTCGCAAGCAATCCCACCGACAAAGCGCAGGCCCCGGTACACAGCTGTAGTAACCCCCGCTGACTTCTTTTACTGAGGTTATATTTATCGGTGTTTTATTTCCTGATGCTCTTATGTGTCCTACGTGTTTCAGTCGCCAATTCTGAATTATAACTAACATTAAAAACATGTTTAAGGAGGAGAGAGAGCAAATAAATCTGTTTAACATCTGATCTTTGGGTTTTTGTTCAGTAATCAGCGTGACCTGTATAAACACATAAAAGAGATAACGTTGGTGTTTCCGTCATGTAGTAACTGCTGGCTTTAACTGTACAAAGGTTGTTCGACACTATGAAACACATACAGACTTCATGATGTTCGGCTAATATTTTTATTGTGAATATTAATCATGCTGACCTCGCTCTGTACACCACGCAGCGAGGTCAGCATATCCACGATATCCTCAGCTCCATGAGTTAACACAAAGTTTCCCAGCTGACTATCTAACTGCCAACTATTCCAGAGACGTGAAAATATACAGCATAAAGAAAAGTGTAAGAGACCCAGCAGCAGATTAGAATAACAGTTATACATTTAATAAATCACCAAATGAATCCAAGAAACGAGCAAACCTGTTCCGACAATTTGAATTTGTATTCCCTCAGCTGCAGACTCGCTGCTGTTTAAATGTTTGAAAAGGAAGATTAGATATAAACAAACGTCAAACATAGACTCAGTCTGCCTTCACATTTGATATGAGGCCAGCACGTATAGTGGCCTCAGCAGGCTATTACTGAAATACACATGCTATATCATAAACTATGATATAAATAGGGAGGTCCTATTAACATTTTTAGTTTTAAAGGACACCTTCCTGCCTTTAGTCTCATTCATGAGCGGTATTAGTTTTCTTCTAACATCCAGAAGTCTGCACAATGTGTTTCATAGTTTGTAACAAGCCTTTGACAGGTAAACATAACATGACCGAAAAAGCAAAAAAAAAAAAAAAAAAAAAAAAAGAGAGAGAGAGAGAGAGAGTTGACATAAGAAGAGAAAATGCTCTCAATTATGGAGACAGGCAAATGGTTCATTTATGTTTGATGTGTGTTTATTCCTCCCTAAATATCGTCGGTGAAGTTCGCCATGCACGTCAGATTTTCCTGCGCATTTTTATACGTCTGCCAACAGAGAGAGAAAAAAATCACATTCTAACAGACAGCTGGTGCTTAGAATACAGTTGAATAACTATTAAAAAACAGATGATATTTAGATGATAGTTCAGTCTAACACATGTGCCAGTGAACCATTAAACGTCAGTGAAACTATGCAGTTATGAAACGTAACTTTAACCTCAGCCAAACCGATTTGCTCAGTTGTAAATAAAACAGCGAAGTAAACGTGACCCGACAGACAGAACCTGAGTGAATGAAGTCCAGCGTTTAACCACTGAGAGCTAAAACTCAGCTGAGGTTTGAAAGCTGTGTGCCGGTGATTGGACATCAGCCGCTGATGAAGCTGTTCGCCTATAAAGTGCTCTGTAAGGAAACAAGCTCCAGCAGCTCTGCGCTCGGGGAAAATACTATATTTACTTATCTTGTGCAGAAAAATGCGCTGACATTGCTTTATATCGAGCACCGGCTGCCCAGTTAAACTGTGACTATCACCAGGTAACTAGGCGTGTTTCTTGAATTAGCAGCAGGTGTTAAACAGCTGACAGATGAGGAGGAGGATGCATGCAGGTAAACTGAGGGTCTGCTGAGCTGATCGCTGGTTTCGTGAGAAAAATGTCAGCTCGTTCTTTATGTTACAGAAGCACAGAGACACAAGACCAGGCGGAAAGAGACGATCGTTCGGTGAAAATGAGAATCTGCGAATGCAACATGTGGAACACGGAGAGTGGAATATGTAAACAAACCGGTTAATGTACCCCCTCGGTGCGCTCTGCATGCTAACTGTTAGCAGAGCTAGTGAAATCTCTGAAAACATCTGAGCACTTTTGCAAAAATGTTCTATGTTGACAACCTGACCAGACATACGGCGCGACATTCGCGGCTAAAACACTGTTAAAAGTGTAGCTGGTGACAGAAAAACGGGGTATTTTAAAAGTACACCACCACCATTGCTGCTTGTGATTTGATCTGCATTCTGGGATAACTGGCTGCCCCAAGTCTACACAAGCAATCGATTATCTAGGATCGACCTGTTTTGACTTACTTTGCACGGCAACCAATCAAATGTTAGAGAAGCTGCATGGGCAGCGTTAACCCCGCCCCCTGAGTTTGATGGGTGAGGCTGACAGATAAAATTATTTCATGACGAGAGCCAGGCGTCAGGACTGCCAAAATGAAATAAATAAATATATCATTAAATAATTAATTAAATGTGTCAATAATTAATTAAATGTGTCAATAATTAATTAAAATGTGAAATACATAAATAATTAATTAAATGTGTCAATAATTAATTAATTAAATGTGTCAATAATTAATTAAAATGTGAAATACATAAATAATTAATTAAACGTGTCAATAATTAATTAATTACATGTGTCATAACTATTTATTTAATTAATTAATTCCAATTTTAATTAATTATTGACACATTTAATTAATTATTTAATGGTGTATTTAATTAATTCATTATGGCAGTCCTGGCGTTCCATATCCCAGTTTGTCATTTCTGACATATTGTTTTTTCTAGTGTTCAATTTGGAGACCGTGCATAAACATGCACCCAGTGCAAATAGTTTTCAATGATTTATGAATAAAAACAAACTTGCTGTTTATTTGTTTGTTTTCCCTTTTTAACTGGAAAAATGGAAGTTGTTGCCCTCCTGAAGGTAACAGAACACACCAGCCCTTACACACTCTGATAAATTTTAATGCTTCTTGATTAAAATGTGTTTCAAGTATGGGAGAAACTAATGGGTATACAGTAACGGTGTGCTGAACTCACTGTCATGTTTAACCCTAGAACACTGTCACTATAAAGAGTAACACCATCACTAACATCAGAAATATATCAAATTATGACAAAAAATTAGAGTGGTCTTCTTTTGTTTTCAACTGTGGTATTTTCAACATGTCTAACAAAACAAATGTCATGGGGGGACCCTAAAGAAATGCTCCAAAGTTAATGAAAAATTAGGAATATGAGAATAAAAAATTCCTAAACAAAAAATAATGACACTGGAAAGTTGGGGTTTGACCTGCCCTTCCAGGGACATTTGAGACTTCCCTGGTGAAGGCACAGCTGTTCTACATGCGAACAGCTGCAGGAGAGAGAAACAAGAAATGGCATTTTTGAGTGGGTGAAAATGATCAATTGACTAAAATATTTTCTTCACCCTATGAATTCCCCTGGTAATCACCACTTTGTGATATTTATCCATAAGCACTGCCCTAAATAAGGATAACATGCAAATTCTAGGACCACTCTTACTTAGCCATTCCTTACATGCTGTCAGTACACGCAGGGTAATAATGGCATGGACACACTTCCTGTCCAAGCCTGCGGGGCAGTCAGCACACCTCACTAAGGGAATACTACTTTCTTCTACTGCTGGTCCTGCCTTACCTGCAAGAGTGACAAGGGTAGGGATGTCGAGGATGCTACAGATCAGGACTGTGAGTTGACGTGTCAGATTTGAAGAGGGAAGCCTCTGCCAATGGTTTGATAAGTGCCGGTGCCAAAGCCTGCATATAATGCCTCCTCTGCATTTGGTTGTCACCTCTCTTCACTGCATTCTTATTGTGAATGATCCACGAGTTCACACCAACAATGATCATGCTATAGAAGACGCAAAGGGGCCATTTCTTGTTTTTTCTTCCACAGCCATATGAGTGCACATCTGGTTAAAAGTATCAACACCACCTTTGCTTGGTTTTAAAATCCAATAATTTCAGGTTTTCAGTGGGTCCTATGCTTGGTTGTATGTGCATGGATGACAGGAGCAGGACAACCTTCTTTTTTGAAGCCTCATCAGGGAGGAAGGACACATGATTTTCTTTACTTTTCATCACTTGCGGGATCTCGCTTTTGTTCGCTTTTACTGTCCCCACAAGGGTCATGCCACAGTTCTATGTTCTATATATATTACATTGAATAAATGTAAATGCCTAGAAAGACTTGTTTTCTAAAAAAAAAAACCTGTGCAAAATAAAAATGTTGAACTCCAAAGTAACATTTTATTGAAAGCTACTGAGGTCACAGTGATCTTGAAATACATGTAAATGTCCTTTGCAGTACATTAGGCAGGTCAGTTCCTTATCAATGAGGCCACGTATTGCTGAACAAAGATTAGTTTTTATCAGAAGTGAATAAAATGATGGATCACATCAGTGCGCGTGCTGCCTGACATGTCTGCCGTTGCTGCTGAGCAGTTTGGGGTACGCCGTCCCGAGTGAGCGCCCGTGTCTGATCACCACCAGCTCCATCTGACACTGGTCAATGTTGACCACAACTGTGGTGCTTCTCTCCGTGTTCATGAGGAAGACGATGGTGAAGACGGCCATCTCAAACTCGGGGCTGGTGCCGATGAAGGCACTGCCAACGGGCTTCACCACACCGTGCCAGCTGAACTGGAGGTTGAGAACGTGGTCATCTTGATCAGGCTGTGACAAAAGCATGAACATTAATGGTTATGTTACCAGCGAACGAAATGAATCTCTTCTGTCTGGTGAACTGTTATTCTTACCAAATCATGCTCCCTGGCTTTATATCCTTTGTAGTCCAAGTGTTGGTTTTTCTCTTGCAGGTAGAACTGGACCCAGTTGTGAAAACCAATGATTTCTGTTCCTGATTTTGTCTCGCCAACAAACACATGTTCAAATCCACTGGAGTCCAGGCTGGTGATGATCAATTTAAGAACAGAAACACACATACTTCTTACCAAAGAAATGCATATTAAATTATAGTGTTGCAGAATCTCATGGATGAATTTAACAACTGGACACAGTTAAAGCGGGATGGTTGGCAGGAGGAGATCTCACCCTGTGTTTCTCTGCCTGTGGTAGAGGTGGAACCAGATCAAGTTGAGCTGTTTCTTGAAAAGCCTCAAGTCAGAGCTGGATTGACCTTTTCTCACCAGGTATTGATGAGCCCGCTGTGGAGAAACATCATTGATGATATTTATGAATCCAAACTTGACTTGCCATAATAATAATAATATTATTGTGATAATAACATGAACAGATGTATTTATGTCATTATTTTGAGCTTTTACACCTAAAATAATTATAAAACGTAAAAGGTGTTAAAACCTCCTCTATTCACCCTGCTCACTCCCCCCCACCCCCAACAACAGCATCCAATACACACTCAACACAAGGCTCCAGCCTGTCTCTCTCAACCACCCAGGTTAGGAGGGAACTGAGGAGGATTAATGGCAAGAAGGCAGCGGGTCCAGATGGCATCAGCTCGAGGGTCGTCAGGTCCTGCGCGGACCAACTGTGTGGGGTGATGGAGCACCTCTTCAACCTGAGCCTGAGGTTGGGAAGAGTCCCACAGCTCTGGAAAACCTCCTGTGTTGTACCAGTGCCAAAGACTTCACGCCCCAAGGGCCTCAACAGCTACAGGCCGGTGGCTCTGACATCCCACCTGATGAAGACCCTGGAGCGGTTGGTCCTGGCTCAGCTTCGGCGCCTAATAAGCTCATCACTGGACCCACTTCAGTTTGCCTACCAGCCTGGCATTGGAGCGGATGATGCCGTCATTCACCTCCTACATCGTTCCCTCGCTCACCTGGAGACCGCTGGAGCACTGTGAGAATCATGTTCTTTGATTTCTCCAGTGCCTTCAACACCATTCTTCCCTCGGTTCTAAAGGACAAGCTGGTGAACTCTGGAGTGGACCATCACCTCACTACCTGGATCCTGGACTACCTCACCGACCGACCACAGTATGTGAGGACTCAGGGCTGTGTGTCGGACAGGGTCGTCTGCAGTACGGGGGCCCCACAGGGAACGGTTCTGGCTCCGTTCCTCTTCACCATCTACACTGCAGACTTCTCCCACAATTCCACCCAGTGCTTCCTGCAGAAGTTCTCTGATGACTCTGCAATAGTCGGCCTCATCACTGATGGGGACGACAAGGAGTACAGAGGTCTGACCCAAGACTTTGTGGACTGGTGCCAGCTGAACTACCTCCAGATCAACGCCAGTAAAACCAAGGAACTGGTGGTAGACTTCCGCAGGCACAAGCATTCTCCACTGCAACCACTGAACATCCAGGGTATGGACATTGAGGCTGTGGACAGCTACAGGTACCTTGGTGTTCATCTGAACAATAGACTGGACTGGACTCATAACTCAGACGCCCTCTACAGGAAAGGGCAGAGCAGGCTGTACCTGCTGCGGAGACTCAGGTCGTTTGGAGTGGAGGGCCCACTCCTGAAGACCTTCTATGACTCTGTGGTGGCTTCTGCTATCTTTTATGGCGTGGTCTGCTGGGGCGGCAGCATCTCTGCTGGGGACAGGAAGAGACTGAACAGGGTGATCCGAAGGGCCAGCTCTGTTCTAGGATGCCCTCTGGACCCAGTGGAGGTGGTGAGTGACAGGAGAACGGCGGCTAAGCTGTCATCCCTGATGGACAACATCTCCCACCCCATGCAGCAGACTGTGACAGCACTGAGCAGCTCCTTCAGTGGGAGACTGCGGCACCCACGGTGTGGGACGGAGAGATTTCGCAGGTCTTTCCTCCCCACTGCTGTCAGACTCCATAATAAAGACTTTAACTGATCAAGCACACACATCCATACATATGCAATAATACTAAGTGCAATAATCTTTTCTGGCATCGTTGTATTTTTACTCAGTTGTATATAGTATTTGTATTTGTATTCTATTTTTATCTTATTGTATATTTATTTTATTTTATTCTACTGTATATAGTATTTTATTTTATTCTATTCTGTACAGTTGTGTACTGTATTTATTCTTATTGTATTCTAATTTTTGCCTCATAACTTTTGCACTGTCCACTTCCTGCTGTGACAAAACAAATTTCCCACGTGTGGGACTAATAAAGGTTATCTTATCTTATCTTAACCCTGATGCCATCTTGGAAATAAAGCACTTTTGTTCATGTAATTACAACATTTAACTCTTTAAAAAAACAAATCATACCTCTAGATGTTATGTCAACACTATATTTAATCTACTTTATAAGAGTGTCTTTTGGATGAATATGTCTTTAATTGTTAAATTAACTTATTAAATATTTAATTTAACTAAGCCCTAAAGATGGAGTCATGAGACTTTTTGTCCAAATGTTACCTGCAGTCATCTGGTTCATCCAGTGGTGCAAGTTTCATGTGTTTAAGAACAGGGTGCAGGGAGGGTGGAGTTGAGTGTCAGGGTGATTTGTGACAGCAGCAAGAGAGAAAGGGAAGGTTTACAAGATGGCAGCGAGACCTGCTGTGATGTATGATTTGGAGATGGTGGCACTGCCACCATGGATGGAGAAGATTACAAATGAGTACATCAGGGGGGACAACTCAGGTTGAGCAGGTTGAGATGATTTGGACATGTCCAGAGGAGGAATACTATAGGATAGGATATGTTGGAAAAACTGATGCTGAAGATTTAGAGAAGGCAGAAAAAGTTCACTGATGTAGTGAAGGAGGACATGCAGAGGGTTGGTGTGACAGAAGAAGATTTTAGAGATTGGGTGAGATGGAAGCGGCCCCTAAAGTGAGCAAGATTCGATTCAAATACATTTTTATAGCACTAAATCACAACACCAGTCACCTGAAGAGGTTGAATATTGTAAGGTAAAGACCCTGTCTTGGTTGACATGCCTCTACCATGTTGCGTGGAGGTCAGGGACAGTACCCCTGGATTGGCAGACCGGGGTAGTGGTTCCCATCTTTAAGAAATTGGCTACTCGCTGCTCAGAGTAGAGCCACTGCTCCTTCACATTGAAAGTAGCCAGTTTAGGTGGTTCGGGCATCTGACAAGGATGCCTGGGCGCCTCCTGGGTGAGGCGTTCCGGGCATGTCCCACTGGGAGGAGGCCCCATGGCAGACCCAGGACACGCTGGAGAGATTATATCTCTCAGCTGGCCTGGGAACACCTTGATGTTCCCCCGAACAAGCTGGAGGAGGTGGCTGGGAAGAGGGAGGTCTGCTTGGACTTGACTCTGCTTGGGCTGCTGCCCCCATGACCCGGCCCTGGATAAGCAAAAGAAGATGGAAGGCTGGAAAGACCCTACAGAACAATACCACTGTAAGCAATCACTTGGCTACAGGGAAAAAAGCCCTTTAAGTGGGAAGAAACCTCCCAAGGAACCAGGCTCTGGGCGGGGAAGCCACAACTGGCTGGGGATGATAATAAACTTTGTGCACCTCACCTATCTGTGTTCTGTTCTGCGAGGATTCTGTGAATCATATTGTCTTTAGCTGTGTTATTAAAGATTCTTTTTTTTTTGTTTTCTCATTTAAACTTTGTGAAAAGAAATCCTCTAATATCTGACATCCTCCTCCATTTTCTTTCTGGCTTCTTCATGGTTGCAAACCTGAGTGTGCCCAGAGTCAGAGGAGAGGAGGAGATGCTGTGCTATTTCTGAAGAGAAAAGCACAGCATCTCCGCTGTTGGAGGGGTTATTGTGAGGAATTTGTCTCATGTGTCCCCGCTGAGATCACTGAAAAGCGTGGGGTTTCTTCCACCTACAAAAAGTACATCATGTCCACATTCCTGCAGTGATCCCCTTCTGGGAGACTGCTGAGGCCAGAGCGACATTCCACAGCTGCACACAGATGTTATTTTGCCTCTGTAATGTCTTGAAGTAATGTGTGCAGAGCAGCAGTGCAACAGGAAGAACATAAAACTCCCTCTAGAGTTCAGCTGCAGCCTCAAAACCATGAACTGTAGGAAACAATAGAAAGTTGTGCAATACCAAAAACAATTCTCTTGTTGCTGTGAGGAGACATTCAGACTGAAACTACCAGGTTTCTCCAACAGAATGGAGTAACTAAAGTGCTCAAATGTAAACTTTCTGCTCGACAGAGCTTGTTGTGACGCATACCTTCATGACTTTTGTCTCTAAGACGGCGTCCAAGAAGAGATCCATCTCTGTGAGCTCCTCTGTGGTGACTTGTTCCGTCACGCCAGTAGACCGCTCATAGTTGTCCAGCAGTGTCATAAAGCCTGCGAGCCCAGAAATCCCATTTATTACAGTGATGACTGCAAACACGATCTGAATGTTTAAGCTCAGAGTGCGCACAACTACACACTTACTAGAGAAAGTGGTTATATTTCTCAGTTTGCTCTCATTAACGTTGGAGAAGAGCGGCTGCGAGGCGTGATCCTGCACCGTGTGGCTGCCCTGACTTACAAAGCTTGCTCTACCCTAGGCAATTCAAACACAGAACACGTCTTTGTACAAACACAAGACATAGCAGGCGCTAAATAAACTAGAAAAGATTTCTCACCTGAACAGAGATCATGTAGTCTATCCCAGGTGTCATGCGATTCACATCCAAACTCCACAGCTCATTGAAAATAGTGGAGAGCTCCTGGTTTACAGCTGGTCTGTTATAGAAAGTGTCAGACAGGCTATGCAAACATCTGACGCATGCACACGCAAATAGAGGAAACATCAGCAGAGTTTGGTTTATACCACTGTACCTTGATCCATTCAGTCCACTGAGGAACACTGCAAGGAGCAGAAATCCACAGAACAACCTGCACATAACAGATGTGAAAACATTTTTTACAGATGGGAAAAGCAGCAAAGTTCTGACCTGTATTCAGCTGCCTGTGCAACAACGTAAACAAACTAATCTTCAGTCAGTAAATAAAAATACAAACCTCGCAGACATGACAAATGAAAGTGTCCACTGTTTCAGCCTGGACTGCAGCAGAGGACTCACACACAGCCTGTCTGTCTAAAGGTCCAGCCTCCACCCAGAATCTTGCAGGGGCCTTTCTGAGCCTGAGACCCACTTTTAACCACCAGATGGCGCCTCGTTTCAGGGCACAGCCTCTCTCTATGGTTTTGCATGAACTTTTACTAAAGAAGTGATACAGCGATGCAGCTTCAGGTGGTTTTAATTTTTATTTTTTATACAACTTAGCTTATAAACCATCACACACATGATGCAATTTCACAAAAGTCCTATCCAGAGTCTCAGTGAAAGGTTTTTCATGTATTGTTTCAGTGTAAACGGGGATAAGAGAAGGGTAGACTCATTATTCAATGAGTAGGTAAAGTAGGCTGTGCAAATGTAAGGTGAAATGTAAATCTGGGGAAAGGCAGTGGTCTGTGACTTGAACACAAGGGGGGTGTACTGAGCTGTCAAACAGCAGAAAATGTTTTCTCAGAAACGAAAGCCTCTGTGCTTTAAAATTCACCAAGATGCTAACATTAAAAGTTAACGGCCTAGATTAAATCTAGCTTTATGGAAAAATATAGCTGCCCTGGTTTACCTCTGAGCAGGAGCACACATATGTGTTAACTATGTCAGCATGTCCTGTAGAGTGACCACATGTCAACAGCATTATTATAGTAGGTTACATTGTAGTGGTGTGATGTATATCACCAGTACAGAGGTGTCAGCAGGGGCCGATGGGTGCATCTCACCACTGAACACAGACTTTTGTGCAGAACTGTAGAAAGGCTTTACTGTGCATGTATGAACGTGTGGAGACATGACAAGAAGAAATGAGAGGAGAGCCAGACAGACTAGACAAAAGAAATAAATCTGAGAAAGACTGAAAAAAAGAAGCAGAAATAAAAGAGAGTTCGAGACTTCGAGCTCTCGATTACACACAGAAGACGCATCTCATAAGTTTAGTGAGTGTTCTGTCATTTAGCGCCACAGCAGTTCACACATCTAAACTCAGCAGCATTCAGATTTTGTGCCACCTCACAGCGGTAAACAATTAATGTCAGGCCTGGATGCTGTAAAGGGTAAACTCCAGAACCGAGTGCTAAAGGGGAACAACCATTCTCCGTCTCTTTGTGACAATAAAATTGAGGCTCTATAAATAAAAGTCTTTGTGGAGGATTTAATTGTTGAACAAAACACAGAAATTCTGATTACAGAGCAGTTGTGTAGAGCAGATTTTGTCATCTCCAATTATCTGTCAACATTATCGACCAACATTAGAGAGTTCTTGCGTCCCCTTATTAATTGCATAAGTGTACAAAAAAGACATCTTTTCAGGGAAGGTGGAGAGCTGCAGAGGGCATTGTTAAGGGTTCAAATATTGAGGAGGAGAGTAAAAACAACCATGGTCCAGAAGAGCTTCGTCAAACAATTGATTTTAATGAACACACGCGTGGGAAGATCACCACCGTACGCAGACAGCAATTGATCTTCGACTAATCAAAGCATAAGCAGATATTTTATACCATCAGGGTTTGAATTTAATGACGCCCCTTCAACGTCAAACAGATACATACATACATATGTATCTGGAACAACCCTGACATATTACAAAACAATATGATTAATTTTCCAGATTGGAGTTGTGAAGGAATTAAATACTTGAAACATATATGTAGAATGACCACTCGGTTGCTTTCTTGTGACGCTGCTTTATTGAACGTGCATCCAGCAGGGGTTATAACAGCTCAACAACGTGTGTGTCAGCTAAGACATAGAACAGGATATAGACAGCCCCCTGCCGCAGAGCAGGTCCTAGTGGCGTAAAGCTGTAAAGCCCAGTACATGACATCTCCCCCCTTTTCATGTTATGTCCAATAACAAACCCCAAATAGAACAGCAATGACACAATGATAACATGCGACACTATAATAGCCTCTGGGCGGTTCTCTTATGGTCGAGCACAAATGGCGTACTGTCAGCCTGAAGGGCAGTGTCCACAAAACAGGACCCATGAAACATGGCAAACTTTTAAGGTAATTAACTCAACCAGGCAACAGCAGTATTGGTTGCAGCTGAAAACATAAGTGCAAAACAGCAACAATACAACATTCCCACTCCCCAGTCCTTCCTTCTGTCCCATCACCCCAATGTCTATAGATCCAGCCTGCTGACTGGCTTACGTACCTGGCCGCACCTCGTGCGTAGCAGAGTCGGTACGTCAGCGTGAGTGGGTGCGAGCGTTAGGGCAAGACTAGGGGCCAAATGTGGGGTCTCTGGAGTGGACGCACCAGTGCACTGAGGTGGCGGCTCCTCAGCGTCCACAGTGGGTGTTGGAAGGGGTTGTGGCATAGCCCGTAGAGAAGGTTCGAGGCGGAGATGGCGGCGGTTCCGTCGCAGCATCGCACCTTGGGGTGTGGCAACGAGATAGGACCTCGGAGTGACGCTCTCCTTGGAGATGATGGCCGGTGTTGTCCAAGCCTTCTCCTGGTCCAGCTTAGTTAGGACAGCATCCCCTGGATGAAGTGGAGGTAGGGGCCTAGCACCATGGCGGCGGTCGAAGTAGAACGCCTGCTTGGCCTTCTGACCAGCATCCCTTCGTTTAACTTCTCTTTTGTTTGGCCATTTAGGTCGAAGATTCTTCTCCAAGGTAGGCAGGGTCGTCCTGATCCTCCTCCCCATAAGAAGTTCCGCTGGGCTGAAGCCTGTAGTGGCACAGGGAGTAGACCTAAAGCACATTAGTGCCATCAGTGGGTCGTCGTGCCGGAGGATTTTCTTTGCAGTCTGTACTGCCCTCTCCGCGTGACCATTTCCCTGTGGGTGGTGGGGACTAGACGTTATGTGGGCGAAATCCATCTCTCTCGCTAAGGCCTGGAACTCAGAGCTGGAGAACTGAGGGCCATTGTCACTCACCACCACGTCAGGGATCCCAAACCTAGCAAAGGTCGACTTCAGTTTCTGAACAACTTGGCCGCTGGTCGTGGATGGTAGGTGAAGTATTTCCAGAAAACGTGAGTAGTAGTCCGACACAACGAGGTAATTATTCCGGTTGTGTTCACAGAGATCCAGGGCTATCCTTTGCCATGGACGATCTGGCAAAGGTGTGGGGATGAGCGGCTCCTTTGTCTGTGTTGGCCTCTGGGCCAGACATGTGTGGCACTGCAGCACTACATTCTTCAACTCAGTGGAGAGCCCCGGCCACCACACAGATGAATTAGCCCTATCCCTGCACTTGGTGAGGCCTTGGTGCCCTTCATGTAGTTTGTGTAGAATGGCTGTTCTCTGCGACTTTGGAATGGCAATTCTGCAGCCTCGTATAACCAGGCCGTCAGCCTCTGATAGCTCGTTTTTCACTTTCATGTACGCTTTAATGTTCAATGGCACACTAGCTCCGTGTGCAGGCCAACCCCTGCGAATGTACGTAATGACGGTCTGTAGTTCAACGTCCGTTGCAGTGGCTGCTTTAATGCTTTCCATTCGGCTTGGGGACGCTGGAATGCCCTGTAACACGGTGGCTATGTAGCAGTCCACTTCACTGTGAGTGCTAGTGTCATCCTCAGCCCAAGTCTGTGGACTCCGTGACAGCGTGTCGGCGATGACAAGCGTTTTGCCAGGGACATAGACAGCCTCCGGCTTGTACCTCATGAGCCTCATCAGGAGGCGTTGACACCTCAATGGAACATTGTCAAGGTCCTGGCTATTGACCAGGGGTACCAAAGGTCTATGGTCGGTCTCAAACCTGAAGCGATCTAAGCCACATAGATACTTATCAAACTTCTCGCAGGCCCAAACACTTGCCAAACACTCCTTTTCGATTTGTGCGTAGCGTGTTTCAGCCTCCGTGAGGCGTCTAGAGCAGTAGGCAACAGGTTTCCACTCTGCGCCATGAAGCTGAAGCAGCACAGCCCCAAGCACGTAGCTACTGGCGTCGGCAGATACGGCTGTGAGTCTGTTGACATCATAGAAGGCGAGAACGGGTGCTGATGTAAGCGCTCTCTTTATGTTCTCGAAGGCTGCCTGCTGTGGGTGATCCCAGGTCCAACTGTTTTTGCTTTTAAGCAACTCGTACAGTGGCTGGCATATTGTGGCAAGAGCAGGAATATATCTGCCCAGGTAATTAACCATTCCTAGGATCCGTTTAAGCTCTTGCACATTTTCTGGTGATGGCAGCTGAAGAATGGCGCTCACTTTCTCAGGGTCTGGCCTGACCCCAGAATGGTCGATCAGGTGCCCTAGGAAGCGAAGCTGGCTCTGTCTGAAGGAGCACTTCTCTCGGTTGAGCTTCAATCCTGCTAGCTCAATGCGCTGCAGCACCTTCTCAAGTCGGGTGTTGTGTTGTTCCATGGTGGCCCCATAGACCAGGATGTCATCCATAAAGACCTCCACACCTTCGAGCCCCTCTAAGGTCTCCAACATCTTTTGCTGAAAGATCTCTGGTGCACTCGTTATCCCAAAGGGCAGCCTCTTAAAGCAATACCTGCCAAATGGCGTGATGAATGTCGTTAGTTTGCAACTCTCGTGATGCAATGGGATCTGCCAAAATCCACTGGCTGCATCCAGCGAGGAGAAGACCGTTGCCCCACTCAACCTGGACATCGTTTCCTCAGTGGTAGGCAAGATATAGCGCTCTCTTTTGACAGACTTATTCAGTTTTGTCAGATCAACGCAGATCCTGGCCTTTGCTGTGGTCTTCTTCAAGACAGGCACCATTGGGGCACACCATTCGGTACATGACAATATATTAGAAGGAACAGACTTTATTCCGTTTAACAGACTAGTTATACAATATGGGATCAACAAGAAAAGATTTTTAGAATATCAACAAATTAAATCCATAATAAAAAACAAATTTAACCTCAGTCAAGTTGAATTAAATTAGGGCTTGTTGCCCCTCAATTCTTTTCCTCCCCATCCCCAACTGCCTCCCTCTTCCCGCTCCACCACACCCACCCACACAAGTAGGGCCCTGGGATGCAGGTGTGTCACCAGGGTGCAGGGGAGGCATCCCCCCCCCGCTTCCTCTGTCCCCTTCTGGCCACCTGTGCCTCAATTTTATTCCACAACTTAGACATCCATGGCTCCCTACAC